TCAATCATAGTACCTTTTGTTTTGTGTTGTTCTGTAAAAGTTGCTGGTGTTGAGTTAAAAATGTTCTGTACACAACAGCCCTTCCGTTCAATGTCATCTATTAAGAGCTGATACAATAACTAAACAAAATCACTTGGAATTGCTTGTTCCTAATTCTTATTCATATTCTTTTGATGATAAAGCTGATTTTTTCATGTTGTTTAGGCACATTAGTTATTTAGCCAATCACAGCAGACAAGAGAGACAGATTCAACAACATACTTAGTGACCCACACAAAGCCTTTTACGTTGTATCACAGACTCCAAAAATATTGTTTTCAGCACTGATTTTTTTTTTGAGCACCAAAGCTGTTGACTTTCCATTTATAGGTTCTTCAGTTGCATGTTTGGGTTTCTGGATTCTTTAAAACACCAATACATTGATATTTTATTTATTTTATTTTATTTTATTTTATATTTCATTATTTTAATTAAAAGTTCCTTGTGGAATTTTAAAAGGTTCTGCTATAAAAAAAAGAACTAAGAGTGAAAATTATTACTAATGTAATAATTAACATAATCTTTTGTGTTTCTCACAAGAAAGGCCATCAGAAGCCATCATTAGTATATGAAGACAATTACTAATATACTAATAATGAAGTACTTAAGACACTGACTCAACAGCCTTTTTTAAATCATAATGATTGTAATAATTAGAATGAATTGTAAAAACATCAGGGATTCTGTTTCATTATAAGTCTGAAGTACAGATCCCTGCAAAAATTAATCAATAGCTTTTGTTGAAACATCTATTTATGTAGTATATCTAAGTTTAGTTATGGCAATATTAATTAAAGCAATAATTATTCCTAAGAATTATCGAAATATCAAAATGTCTAAATCATGGGACTTCACTTTAGACTTCACTCCTCCCTCCCCTCAAAAAGACGTCTGATTAGACATGAATTCCAGCAATCATTTGAGCTCATTATCTTTGGTGGCAGGGGGCGTAATAATGTAGCTGCACCAATTTATTCAGAGAACTCTGAGAAACACATGGCCAAGAAGAGATTAGGGAAGATTAAAAGATAATGGAGTCCCTCTTCAGTATAAATGAGCTTTAATTATATAACTTTTACTTGCATTTTGCTCGCTTTTACACCTAATTTGTTTAAATGGCACAGACAGTCTTTATGTGCTGCATGTCATTGTCTCATTCATGCGGACTAGCACAAACTCTTACAGGTTTCCAACAAAACCGCACTCAGGAGGACGTTCCAGATACTAATATACCTTGTAATAATCTTTAGCAGTAATTCATTAGTGATGTATTTCATATTCAGCATGCACCCTGACGAGCCAAGAAGAATTGCCCAAACACCACAGCAGTGGTTCTAGTGCACACAAATCACAATCTCTTTGTAGCTACACGTTTGGTCCCATAAGACTAAGAACAACTTTATATTAGCCTGATAATGAACAGTGGAATGGAAATTGCCATTGTTCATTCCCAGGTTATATTTATGCAGTGAGCGCGAGCATGACCTGCAGTATAATTATGTAGTGTTACAAATTCATACTCACTCCTGCAGTAATTGAAAGATACATGTGCTCTGAATGGAGAATTCATGCTTTAGTCTGCATTACCCCTGGCTGTTTGGTGATTCATAATATCAGCTTAACAATGAGATTCTTTGAACTTCTTCCTAGCTTTCACACCATCTTAGGCGATTTCTCTGCATGATTTTAAGCTGTCAAGTGGTCTGCCGCTTCATTCAAGTGCTTTTAGTATTCTTAGAAAACAGCCAAAAATTAAACCTCTCACTTTGCGGAGAATAAAAGACCACTTTTTGGCCCGTCAAAAGGTGACTGGTTTGCCAAGAGTGTTTCAGTGTGTTTGCATCTGCTTTAACAAAGATCCACATATTCAGAGCTCTGTTCTATGTAATATTAATTTCAATATGTGAAATGCTTTGATATGAAGTATGAATATTTTAAGGCATTATTCTGTTTTTTGTGCTTTTACTGTAATATGAGGGAGAGTGAAAGTGTGACTTGTTTGTCATGGTTCACCAAGGAAAGATGTTGATGAAAGAAAGACAAGCTGATTCTCCATGGAGTGAGATAGAATGACAGAACATCATTTTATATACCGTATATATTTTTTCTAAATTAATAAAAGCTTAAATGTCATAATGCTGATTTGTAGAGGGGTTACTGTAATGTTGCACAACAGAAAATAATTCTACAGTACAAATGTTGCAATAAAATCAGTTATTTCAAAAAGGCAAATAGATGACAACACTTCAAAGATTGCAGAGGTGACTTCTGGTAGGTCTGTGTCCTCCTCTGCATAGGCACATGAGAATCCTATGTCTGACATGAATTGTCACACATTTTTAATTGATTTGCTTGGAAGCTTACTTTAACTGTACTCCCTTTAACAATGTTCTAAAAATATGAAAATATGTTGTATATGGTGAATATAATATAGAGAAGTATATTAGTACCATAGTGTTATTTATTTATTTGTGTTGAATATTTAATTGTGCATATTTTTACATTTGGAGCACAGTACTTTTGCTCATTTTTGTACTTTTGACTTTTTGACTTATAACACTCACTTAATCTATAAAAACACTGACATAACACTCCTGAATGTAATATTTAGCAAATCTCAAAATGAATATCCAATTTTCATATTGTACATTATAATGTTATATAATGCTTAAATTCACTTGTAGCATTTAAACTATTGATTTTAGTGTTTAGTGCCTTATTTTTCTAAATTTATTTAGCCAAAATAGCTATTTATCATTATTAGCTAAATCATTAAAAATATCAGATTATAGGTATCGGCCATAAATTTAATATCTGTGCATCCTTAGAATGGTAAATCTGATTGTAACGTGGCTGACGAGACGTGAGACGTGCGGATCCATGTGCAAGCTTTATTCACAGGCGTGGTCAGAAACAGGCATGGGTCAGACAACGGCAAACAGGAATATGGTGGACAAGACACAAGAATAATCCTAGGGCTAGCGAAGGTCAACGAACGGCGAACAGAATCAAAAGGGCGAGACTAAAGGGATAAATCCGGCTGGGCTGGGAAACTAACGAGGGCTCTGTAAAGTAGCTATCACTGCTTGCGATAAGCGCATACAATACTCGGCAGTTAGAAAGGAGTGAGATTGAGTGTTAAATAGTGAGTGAGTGATATGGAACAGCTGTGTGCAATCAGTGCTGTGTGCAATCAGTGCAATGAATGATGGGATATGTAGTCCGGGGTGATATGCAACAGTGTGTAGTGCGAGAGTCAATGAAAATGGAAAGGGTGACCTCTGATGGCTAGCAGACGGAAGTTCATGGACCGGATACGTAACACTGACAGAGAACTGTTAAGAGTTATTTATTTATTAAGAGGTAATTATTTATTAAGTCTGGTTTATAACAAGTAGGATGTTTGCCTTCTAATAATAGTATTTAATAATCTCCATCTATTAAATAATACTGTCACCACTGAGATATTTCATAAAAGGCATTTTAAAAAAAGGAAAATGTATTTTTTCTACTTATATCTTATCTTTCATGGCAGTGGTTTTTGTGTTGAATGCAGAGGTTTAAGGGAATAGCCAAAACTGCGATTAATCATGAAGAATCATAACCCAGTATTATTCCCTACAGCAGATAAATAATATATTTTCAGGATGAGGCAATATGCTCCTCTGGATAAAGTCCAAAATTGTTCATATGCAGGGCTCTGCTCAGTGGGGAATTGACAAGGGATGAGAGGCTTCCTCTGGCTGGGATGTTTCAGAGCAATAGGTCAGAGGAGCACAGGGGGATAATGCAAACATAGCCATTGATTTAATGTGTGGGGGCAATACTTTATTTCAGAGGTAGTAAGACGTGCACGGAGGACTGTATTCTGCTAACTCAGCCCTCGTGTATACGGCACGCCTGTCAGACTTGATTAGAAGACCCTCTGCTGTTCTTCTTCTGGTGTGTGTGTGTGTAAATGGGAATGTATGTTTGTCTTTTTATAGAACCAATTAAAATGACACATCTCTGAATGAGCACATTATCACTGATTTAGTGCCACGTTTGTGCACACATGTGTTTGTGGTGTGTAGAATGATGTGTGTTTGTATAACCTGTCGGTTTGGTCCTACATGAAGGTCAGACTAACGCACTGATTATGCTGTTGTTTGTGTGAGTGATTGTGTTTGCCATGGTTTGAAAACAGGAAAGAGGAAAAGGGAGAAAGAAGAGGGTCACTCTTATACCCTTCCTTCCATCTTAAAGCGATAGTTCAGCCATAAATAAATAAATATATTCACTCTGATGTTGTTCCAAACCTGTATGACTTATTATTTTATTTTTTTTGTAAAACAAAAGAAGGTTTGAAGAATTTTCACTTTCCATATAAATGCACATGGGGACCCAGGGCTGTCGAGCTCCATAAAAACATTATAAAAGTAGTTCATACAACAAATACATTATATTCAAAGTGTATTGAAGCCATATGATAAACTTACACAAATTTATGTTGTTATTAACTAAAAATCTTCCCCTATAGAAAACGTGTTTGACAACTGTAGCTTGGATTGGAAAATCTTCTATTGTGTAGACATGCACTATTACATTTATGGTCAATCAATAAGCAGTCATTTTTTATTTTGTTGTTTATTTATTATGTTAAGTAATTATTTGTTATGTCCGATAACCATTAAATGGCTGATATTAAAATTCTATACTATTTGGTCTAAATAAATGAAAAATAAAACATAAAAACTAAAATGGATCATTAAAATGCTTTAAGTAAATTTAGGATTCAAAACACTATGTACTGTATGAAAAGTGGACACTCATTTTGTGTTTGCTAACGATGACATTTAACAGTGTTATTAAATGTTATTCTTATTAAAGATTAATTTTAAGGGAGCGTTAGATGATGCAAAGGAAAACTAAATGAAAAAAATATACAGTATATATAAAAAATTAAATGAGCACATATAAACAAATACTGAATGATACCAATAAATGAAGTCATATCAAATATGTCAACAACTGATATGGTACTCTTATACAGTAAATATCTTATGTTCTGTCCCACTTAATTTGGTTGTGTGTGAGCGAATGACAGATTTTCATTTAAAACAATTAGTGAGTGTTGGAAATATGCTTTTTTGAACTCTCTAAAATTTCAGAAAGCCAAAATTGAAAGACACTACGTGTGTGTCGCTTCATAGACTAGAAAACTGCCTTTATATGGGTGTGAGAGGGGTCCGCTGTCTTCTGACCTTCACTTTATGTATTTTTATGAGTGTCACTGGGCCTGCAATAAACACACACACAAGCACAGATTCTCACACCCACACACTCACCTTATTGGATGTATAACCTGTGGTTGTCTCTCACACAGGAGTGGTTTTCTGTAATGAAATTCCCAGTCGGAGTCAGGGCACATAAAGCCAGCCGGAATGAAATTCAACCACTGGAATCCCAGCCTTTCATCTGCAGCTTCACTTTTCTGTCTTGTGTGTGTGTGTTTGTGTCTATATTTAATGGTCGTGTGTCTGTGAGTATGTGTGCGTGTGACCTAATTTTGGGGGGTCTGTAGGTGTTCTGTTATCAGCTTCTGATGGATGGTAGTTCACTCTGTCTCTCTTTGTGTTTGCATAGCTGAATTCAGTATAATGAGACTCATTAAAAGTCTCTTTTTAGGGGGAAGAACAGAATCATGTGCCTACCTAAGATTATGTACAGTAGTTTGTTTTGTTTTGATAGGGTCACAAGCAGCAAGAAAAACAATGCTAAATGCAGTTAATAAAATGCAACAAATCATATAATTGTGCTCATTTTGGATATCAAAATTAATAGGCTTATCAACTAAAAGAGGGGAGAGAACGATTCCCAACATGACTTGTGCTGACCACATTCAAGAGACATTTAGAAAATGAACTGTAATGTAAAACTAAAACGTCAGTATTACAAAATCTATTGTTCAACCTATGCAGTTCATAATAGTACCAGGTTTGTATTTTATTTTATTTTAGTAAAATAGTTTAGTTAAAAAAAATTTTTTTGTCTTCATATACTAATGTTCATTAATTTCCAAATCCTTCTGATGGCCTTTCTTGTGAGAAACACAAAAGATGATGTTAAGCTAAATTTCCGAGCTGTTCTTTTCTATACAACCCAACTAGATGGAGATTTATGCTGCCAAGCTATTGCCACAGGATCTCAACAGCGCTACATATGACTCTTGTGCTTCTTCTTAAAATGACCTTTCCGCAGAAGAAAGAAAATATTATAAGCTTGAAATGGCATAGGAATGATGACAACATTTTCATCTTTGGCTGAACTATTCGTTTTTATGTTCCAACTTGTGTGTGAAATGAAGTTCTGAGAGCTTGGCTGCAATGTAATTTAGAGCAGTGGTTCTTCACTGGTTTTGCTTCAAGACCCATTGAACCTCAAGCGGCGACCGATGACAGTGTAATGGAGGTGGAAGGTGGTCCCTCTGCGACCCACCAGTTGAGAACTATTGATTCATAGTAATGGATCAGCAAAATATGTGTCAAACGTAATGGAAAATGTGAACTCATGTACTCTTATGTACATTATGGATATAGTATGTATTCACGTATATAAAGTAACAAAAGAAAAGGAAGTGTTGATAGATTCATGTCATGCTTTCGTTGTGGCTTGTCTCTTGTCCTTTCTCAAGTTAGTTCTTTTTCTGTCTCACACTATCAGCAGTAACGGCCAATAAATTTAGCATGCTGTAATTGTGCAGAAAACCCAACAATAAATTTCTCTTACATTTACATTTAGATTGCTGAATATTTTTATTTCTCAGTCTACACTGGCTGAGAAAGTTACAGTCATCGCTTCAGTATGTTTAAATCCAAATATACTGTTTGTGACCCCTAGAATTCACACGTTATGTATGTGCGTGTTTGTGTGTCTGTATGTGCATGTTTCAGTGCATTTGTGTCATGACATGCCAGTCTCCTTTTTGCCTCATAGTAAGAAACACACAAAGCAACTGGAGGAAAGCAGGAATGTGGACCAAAAAAAGTATGTTTAATATTTCATAATTTCATCAGGATATATGAAAAAGAGAGAGAGTGACAGGAAACGGAGAGCAGACAGAGTGAAGGGGTTGGATGAGTGTAAGAGAATAGGAGACGAGAACCCAGCTGGGGGCAAAACTTAGAAAGATTATATCCAGTAACTCATGAATACAGTTCAAAGAGCCTTTTTCTTTTAAATGACAGACAAGTCTTTGCTTCATAATGATTGCATGGGCATCTTTTCATAATCGGAATTGGTATTTGGTATTTCTTCTTTTTGAAATGTACACAAAAGAATTTGTGACCTGGAGATAATGGCACATCAGCAGTTCAGAGTGCTGCTGAAGCACACAGTAACTTCAGTGGCTCCTGTGCATGATGATAACACATTTGTGTTGTATACTTGTACAAAATATTGTTTCATTGGTAGAGAGCGGGTGAAAGAAATAAATAGAGTTGCATTTACATTTAAAGTGTTTAGCAGATGCTCTAATCCCTACAGAAGTTCACATATGAAACTGATATGATCAACAGATGGCAATTTGTAATTTACAATGTAATCTGATAGGAAAATAAGTGCTTCCTGTGCAAATACAAACAAGTACATTTAAACCTTATACAGATACAATAAAACCTTGTTTAAATAAGCCAATGCAAGATTTGCTTACTTGGGTAATCCATGTATTGTTGAATGAGAAAGTCTTGAGCCTGCAAGTTGAAAAAAAACATCACCTTCACAAAAGCTCATTAAGATCGATTGAACCAATTTTAGGGCAATGTAATGACCAATTAGCCTTGCCTGATGGCACAGTATAGTCTATTGAAGTCAAGACGTGCTGACTTGCATCTATATTCCAGACCTCCAGCTAAAAAAAGGTGTTGCTTTAATTACCCTTAATTACAATGAATTGTTTCAGGATCTCTCTCATCCTGAGGAGCTTCTCTGGTTTCAGCACCACAGTCAGTGGACAGTGCCAGTCAGTGCTCCCTGCGGGCCAGCATTACACTTCTTATTACTTTTTCAATGGTTTTAAATTACTTTAATTTGCTACTGTAGCATCTGAAAGAGTGTATTCATTTAAAATGGCAGTTTATTGTAGTGCAGTTGCTAATTATGTGCTGAGTAGGCCTATACCAGAGTTTTGGGCAAAGAAATGCAAAAATGTGTTTCCTGTGGTAATGTCTAAATCGGCAGGTTTTATTGAAGTCAAAATTAGTATTTTATTTAACTATTTCAACCTGGAAGGATGGACCACCTAAAGTCATTTTTAAGGGCCAGATTAAGCATGCAGTGTGCAATTTATACAATATTATACTTATATATATTTATACTTTCAGGGGGATTGACATTTTTAAATGGAATTTAATGGACCCTTTTCACATTTCCAGGGGGTTCACCGAAGCAGAAGTCATCATAGTTGGGTAAACTTCTACAATGGTGAACAGAAAGTAGGCCTACAACAAATATAATTTTTGCGCTCTCATTTGCAAAAGAGAAAAAAAAAATCTATGATAGTGTTTCTAAAACCGTACAAAAGAGGAGAAAATATAGACACTGGTCGGAATAGATAAACATGTCAAATTTGCCATCACTCTCTCACTTACACTTATGCAGCAGCGTTAACAGTTTTAATGCACATTAAGGTAATATAACACAAAGTGTTAGGGCGGCTTTATGCAAATCTTCCCACATCGTGATGTAGGTATGTGGGGGCGTGTTAGAACGAGCCGTTTTAGGTAGGTGTGGCTGACTCTTAACTTTTATAAAGAATATACTTTTTATATAAGATTTGAGACTTTAGTCTTTGCAACTTTACAGATCTTCTTTATGCACCAAGAGCTTGTAACACTCCAAAGAGAAAGGAAAAATTTAAATCGCATCATATGACCCCTTTAATTAAAAAAAATTGTTAAACATGCTAGATTTACGATGTTAACAACTGTTGAAAATAGTCATCACAGTTGTGAAAAGCTCATCTCAAAATGTTTTTTAGCAGTAACACCAAGAATATTTTAAAATTTTAAACAAAACCCAAACGTTTTTACGATATAATCTATGAAAATTTGAGATGAAAACATGTCAATGTCAGTGTTTTGATGGTGTTTCTTACCAGTGTTACCTCTTCAAGCGAACTCATTTATTTTCGCAAGCATCAGTTTACCATTTAAAAAAAAAATATAAAATACACTAGTCTACATTAAATCAATAGGTTTCCTGACCCTATAGCTTATCAGTGGTGACTGTCAGTTAATGTACATATGGCAGAAATGTATGAAAAAATCAATTAAAGACGTTATCAAACAGATGATGAACATTATTAACAGCAATTATTATATGATGCAATCAACCTTATAGCAAAATGTGGTAGTTCTGTATTTTGTTTCATGGTTGGCTGAGGTCCTCTGAGGGGTTGGCATCATCTCTTCTCAGGTGTTCTGGATCCAGACTGAAGCTTGTGTAAATCCTAGTTACCGTGGCAAAAAACAGAGAAACAAATAGAGACA